ATGGAGTGTCTATAACACAAGTATAAAGGAAAGGATAAGTTCTTTCATATGGAGTGTCTATAACACAAGTATAAAGGAAAGGATAAGTTCTTTCATATGGAGTGTCTATAACACAAGTATAAAGGAAATGATATGTTCCTTATTCATTCAAAAATTAACTGATTTCTTAAGTGAATTAGTTAATTTTTTCTGTTTTTAGAAACTAGGATAACAAATGATGTACATTACATTTACCTTCAAACAACAATACATGAACTTAATATTTTTCTCCTTAGAATTTCTACAATACTTTCCAACTATTTATTCACCCAATATATCATTCTAACCAAGTACACTGAGATTAATGATGTTTGTAAACTATCAAACACAAAATTCACTATTATATTCAATGTGTAATTTCCTTATCCACCTTCTGCATTAACTACCGATAATGTAGTGTTGTAGCCTACATCTCACTATAATGGACGTAGTGGGTACATTGGTATCTAACTATGTAACCAAAACTCCTGTACCATCTATTGAATGGCACCACAAACAAAAATCCATAAATATTTTCACACTTTGCATATTCAAGATTCAGACAAATAGAAAAATAACTGTGGTATGTGAAACAACCATTTTTTTATAATATAACACACTTTTAAATAAAAGTACTCTACTCACAACAAGAACACAAATTTCACTAGGACTGTACATGAGGGGTTGATTATATCTGTATTGATGTAATTTTAAAATGTAGTACTGAGAAACTGGAGTTCTTAAAAAAAACTATTATTTTTTCAAATAAATTGTACCACTTTTACTACATAAAAAATATTATGGTTTATATCAGTAAAATATATATGAAAATTTTTAGCTTTGTACATTGAATTATTTTGATGCAATGAATTGGGTATGACTAAAGAGTACAATCCAAACACTTTTCCCATGCAGTACTTCCCAGAAAAACCTTTAGAACTTTTAGAAAATGTTCCCTTTTTCTAAATTTTTTTTCAATGAGGTATGAATACTACAATTAGTAATTACTAGCATAAATAGGTTTAGAAGAGATGGGTTCTGTGTAGTAGTTCAAAAAGGTCTTGATGTTATAGATGTCTCAACAGTATATCCGGTAACAAGTTTAGACCAGAAGGATTCTGTGTAGTAGTCCTGGAAGGTCTGGGTGTTATATATATGGCACAATAATGTATACAGTAACTGGTTTAGACCAGATATTGTCTGTGATGTAGTCCTGGAAAGTCTGGATGTTATACATGACACAACAATATATGTAGTAAAAGGTCTACAGCAGATGGGTTTAGTGTAGTAGTCCTGGAAGATCTGGATGTTATAGATGGCACAACAGTAAATGTAGTAACAGGTTAAGACCAGATGGGTTCTGTGCAGTAGTCCTGGAAGATCTGGATGTTATAGATGGCACAACAGTAAATGTAGTAACAGGTTTAGACCAGATGGGTTCTGTAGCTAGTAGTCCTGGAAGTATCGTGGATGTTATAGATAGGACACTAACTAG